CGTCCGGCATACTTGCGTTGAATCCCGACATCACACACGATCAAAGTCCGATCGCACGTGTCGAAAACCTCGTACTTGAATAGTTTCTTTTGGAACGTAAAAACTCATATTTCGTCATATCCCAACAAGCAACACTTTTATCAATGACATTTTTGACTGTGACAGGGTCATTGAGATCAAGGTCAGCAAGTGCCATTGCTGTATCCTGTGTTGCTTTTTCAGCAGTAGAAGCAGAGAGATAGGCCTTCACTTTCTTTGTGTTTTCAAGGAGAGCGATTTGCTTCAGATAAGTATCCCAGCTGGTAACAAAAACAGCTTGGGAAATTTGCAGGAACAAAATAACAGTTGGCGATGTATCGTCAACTGCATAGGTGCGATCTTCGGTAGGACGATAAGCATCAGTAGGGGTGGTTGCGGTTGCTTGTTCCTGGGCAAAAGTGTGGATGAGATCGTAGAGTTTGTGCTTGGTCTGAAATTCAGAATGTTGAAGGAGGGAAGGTAAATCAGCTGTATCCGTATCAAGTACAAATTGGAAGATATCACTGTTGTGTCCCTCTTCCAGAGTTGGATCGAGCAAAGCAAGTGTAGTTGTGATGTCTACAATGCTTTTGGCCACCGATTTCCGAATTGCATTTTGGACAGAAGCGATTTCAAGTTTGACAAGTGCGATGATTTGGGCTTGCATTTGGCCTTGAAATAAAACACGGGCAATGTTGACTTCATCATGTAACTTTTCGACTTTGGCTTCATCATCTGCCAGTAGTCGGTCGGTTGGGTTGAGCTCAAATTTGAAATTGCAGGAGCTTGCAACATAGCCAGGCTTTTGTAGAAGCTGAAGGCGATCGTTGAAAGTATTCAGAGTCTTCTTGAGTTTCATAAATTCAGAGAAGCGCTCGCGAATGTAGGTTTTTGTCAAATCGAACGCGTTTGTTATTCAGAGGGTTACCGGTCGCAGACATAATATGATCAAGAGAAATCTTCAAAAATAGTAATAGGATCTTATGTAGTTATCCAAGAAAAGGCCAGTCTTGACCAAAGCTAGTTGGGATGAATAGCTTTCGCCGGAGCTTCGTCAGCGGCAAGACAAGTGGCAAGAGGCAAGAGATTGGTCTTTTCATTTTTGAATTTCAGCGATTTCGCCAAAATCGAGCTGGACACACAGATTGCGA